GTATTGACGCTTATAACATCATATATATATATATATATATATATATATATATATATATATATATATTATTCTGTCTACTGGTGCTAATTTACTTTATCAAAACTGGCAGGAAAATGTATGAAATCATTAAAAAGCAATAGCGACTAGCTAAACTGAGGAGACAAATGTCAGGAGAGAAAGGAAAACTGTAAAATATTTTGAGATTTAAATATGTAATTATGTGTAACTTGAAACCTATTTTAGAATCTATAGTTCTTAGCTACATTATAAAAGCTCTTGTAACTACCAATGCTTGTGGCAAATTTTTCAATATGTAGCAATGTAGTATTCGTAGCTAAGCACGTATAAATAGTTGCCACGTAACAAGAATATGGTTATATATTCTCACTTTCTGTAGCTTATAAAAGAATACTTTAGCTATAATTCTATATATTTCATAGCAAAAAAGAATGAATTCTTAGCTACTAACAAAAATATCTGTGGCGGATACTTCAATTTATAGCTATAAATTACTATATTCGTAGCTAAATGCAAGTACTATTGCCACGAGATTAAGCTATAAAAATAGCCACAAAATTTTAATTTCCATAGCAACCAAATTAAATATTTTTCCACAATAAAATACATTGTGGCAACAATATAGAGACTACTACATATTTTATTAGTCGTGGCAAAAGAATAAAATTATTTGCTATAAGTATATATTTTGTGGCAAAAAAGTTTTATCAATATAGCTACAACACATAGAATATTCATAGCAATATTAGTCTTTAGCCACAGAACATGTAAAGTTTGTAGCTAACTTTTAATTACACTAAGTTTTGCTACGGAAAAAATTATTGTGGCTAAAGCTTTTTGCTACGAAAATTTTTATATTTAGCTACGATATACGTTGTAGCTATATATGCGTAATATTATAGTGAAAAAGAAGAAATCTATATGTCAAAAAGTTTTTAAAAAATTTCACATAAATAAATAGAAATTTTGATTAAGGCCTCTTAATAAAATTTTCTTTAAGCTACAAATATCATTGAGTCCTCTCTGATTCTAGTCAGGAGCGGAGCTGACCTTTGAGTTACGGGTTCGACGAAACCTAGTAACTTTGGTCCAAACCTGTATTTTTTTTAAGAAATTCATTGAATAAATACAATTATTAATTTAGACCTGGTAATTTAAAAGGACCAGAATCCCAAACTCATAAGCTTCCAATCCTTCTAGAAATTTTTGTTTGTTTTTATTACCAACTAGTATTAGTACCCGCGCGGATGCGCGGACACTAATCATGTCAAATATTTAAGTTATTTGGATTGTCTGTAAATAATCTTAAAATTTATATTTTCTCAGTAAATATAGATAATAATTGGATATTAACTAAATCAACCATTTCTTCTATTTTTCTTTTTTGATACTATTCTTGCCGGTGTCATTGTGTCACGACCTTAAACCCAGACCCGGTCGTGATGGCGCCTCTCGTGAAGACAAGGCCAGCCAACACAAACCCCAAGTTTAATTAACAGATATAATGGTTCATAATCAAGTCATTTATAATGATAAATCCCAAAATAAAGCGAAATATGTCAACTGCGAAAAACAAAACCCAGCCCGACATCGGGGTGTCATAAGTCACGAGCATCTACTAAGGTCTGAATACAGCTAAGAGTCTGTCACGACCCCAGTTCACCCTCCACGAACACGTCGTGATGGCACCTAGTTCCTACAACTAGGTAAGCCTAACAGTGCGGAATAACAAATTAATATTTGCGGAATAATAAATTAAAACTGAACATACGGAAATAACAACTGTATGTAAGGCCACTCAGCCTATACAACTCAAAATATGCGGAAGTCTACAACTAATCCCAAAACCCGGAAACTCACGGGAAACACAGGCTAATAGAATGTAGTAAACTGCTCGACACCAGAATGTCTAAACAACATGAAAGGAAAGAAAAGGAACTATCTGCTAAAGCCGGAATAGAGTAGAGACTCCTGGTCTGCGAACGTAGCATATATACCTCAAGTCTCAACTAGGACTCTCCACCACGAGGATGATACGTCTGGGAGGAAGTACCTGGATCTGCACATGAAAAACATGCTCAGGAAGGGCATGAGTATACCACAGCGGTACTCAGTAAGTGCCAAGCCTAACCTCGGTTGGGTAGTGACGAGGAAGGTCAGCGCCCTACTGAGGTAACATAATAAATAATGAGATAACAGAAATAGTTTCAATAAAGTCTACAGCGAGAATCTAAACCAGGTAAATAAGGAAGAACAGTAATAGAAAGCAAAGGTAACAATACACGGAAAACTGCCCTCACAAGGAATAGTAACCGGGGGATCTCTTGGTATCCCGAGGATCTCTTGGTATCCTCATCATCAACACTGGGGATCTCTCGGTATTCCGAGGATCTCTTAGTATCCTCAATAAGTAAGTCGGGGATCTCTTAGTATCCCGAGGATCTCTTGGTATCCTCAATAAGTAAACCGGGGATCTCTTGGTATCCCAATATATATATAGAAACACATGTGCCAGGGATCTCTTGGTATCCCGCACCCTCAGTCCAGAATATCTCGAGTACAGAGGGATCTCCCGGGAAGCCGTCCCGTAGTCCCAAATTAAACACACAACAACAACGATTCCTAAATCTCGGAACAATGCTAAAAATCAGGACACGAAGTAGTAAATTATAGCCTAACATGCTTCACAGAGTACAAATAGCACAGTTAAAGCAAATAAGCAGGTAAGCCAGCTAAACATGAGTCTCTAAGCTAGCACAGGTACAAACTTACAGTTAAAATGAACAAGTAAACAAGAAAGCTCAATTTAAATACTTCAAGTAGAAACGGATTTACAACAATTAGCTCAAGTACGCACCGTCACCTCACATACGGGGCATTCAAATATTCAAGATCATATCCTAAGGGAAAAAGGCCCCCCACACAAAGTTAGACAAGCCACTTACCTCGAACCGGCTCAATATCAACTAGAAATCACGCTCTTGCCACGAGTATCCCACTCCAAATGGCTCAAATCTATTCAATTCAATTACACATTGTAAATAACATCGCAAACACCTGGTTTTGCTAATAAATTCAAAGCTACGGCGTAAAATTAGGTGAAATGACCAAAATGCCCTCCAGGCCAATGCCCCAGAATCGAATAATTTTCATATTTTCAGAACCCTCGTACTCTCACGAGTCTAACCATATAAAAATCTCCCAAATCGGAGGTCAAATGCTCACTCAAAACTCCATAATTTAGCCAATGAAGTTTTACCCCAAATTATCCAATTTTGATCCTAAATTCGAATTCCAATGATACATTTAACTATATAATGATGAAATATAACTAGAAGGGATTAAGGAAAAGTTACCCAATAGTCTTCTCTTCAAAACCCACTCAAAATCGCCCTTACCCGAGTTCTCAATTGATTTTTGTAACTTATGAACTCAAACCCTCGAAATTTCTATTTTTGCCCAAGGATTTCCGCTTCTGCGGACAAGGGACGGCATCTGCGGTCCCGCTTATGCGGAACAAATACCGGTTCTGCGGCTATTAACTAAAATCCAGGGATTCCGCTTCGGTCTTAAACCGCACCTGCGGTAGCCGCTTCTGCGAAATACTTACCGCTTCTGCGGTTTCTCACCAATGACCCAGGGCCGCATCTGCGACTTATACCTCGCAGGTGCGTAACCGCTTCTGCGGTCAAACTTCCGCACCTGCGGAAACTGAAGGGAGCCAAATTCCGCTCCTGCGATGGGATGGCCGCTTCTGCGGTTCCCAAGCCGCAGAAGCGAAAATACCAGAAGAGAGAAAAAAACCAGCTGCTGCAACACTTCAAAAATTCCTCCGTTAACCACCCGAAATCATCCTGAGGCCCCCGGGACCTCAACCAAAAGCACCAATACCACCTAATACCTATCCAAACTTGCACAAATCCTTAAAACAACACCGGAACCCCGATTAAATCAAAGACTCAAGCCTAAGAACTACAAGTTTCCTCCAAATACGCTTTCGATCAAAAACCTAACCAAAACACGTCCGAATGACCTGAAATTTTGCACAACATCCCAAATGACATGACGGAGCTACTGCAACTTCCGGAATTCCAATCCGACCCTCGGACCAAAAACTCACTATCGGACCGGAACTTCAAAAATTCAAACTTCGGCATTTCAAGTCTAAATGAGCTACGAGCCTCCAAAATACATTCCGAACATGCTCCCAACCCCGAAATTACCTAACGGAGCTAACGGAACCTCGGTTTCCCATTCTGAGGTCGTCCTCACACTGTTCTCATTACGAACCATTTGTCAACACTTAAGCTCTCATTTAGGGACTAAGTGTCCCAAAACTCTCCAAAACTTAACACTGAACGTCCTGGCATACCAAAATAGCATAAATGAACTTAGGGGAAGCAGTAAATGGGGAATCGGGGCATAAATTCCAAAAACGACCGGCCGGGTCGTTACATCCTCCTACACTTAAACATTCGTTCGTCCTCGAACGAGCATAGAGAACATACCTGAGGTAGAGAAAAGATGGGGGTACTGGATGCGCATATCCTGCTCGGTCTCCCAAGTCGCCTCCTCGGCCGACTGACCCCGCCACTGAACCTTCACTGAAGCGATGTTCTTTGACCTCAACTTCCTGATCTGACTGTCCAAAATGCTACTGGCT